TCTATTCTATCAAATGTTATTAAACTCAAATCACTGATCGACTCGGTCGGATACCGGATCAATGGATCATTGGTTTAACAATAAGTAAGTGGTAGAATTGTTTAATTTGAATTTATGTAAAAATATATTATAAATATATAAATAAAAATAATATAAGAACCGAAATAATTTGGTTTAATAGTTAGTATTTCACTCTTCTTTCCTTAAGGGGGCATGTGGTACGAGAGAAATTTTTTATTTTCGAATAAAAAAATATCTCAAAATATGGTGTGAATTTTTTTTGCCTGATTAAGTTACAAAAAGATGTTTGGTAGGCGTCAATTTTTCCAAGAAAATTGAGTTATTTTACTAATACTATATTTGGTTGATGATGAAATATTGATGGGAATCTGTAGTGAAATTACCGATTATATTCAAATATGGAATCACAGTCATCGAATTGTACTGCAAATTATAATTTTTTTTGGGCATTTGGTCTTAAAATTGTAAAAGCAGGTCTGTCCATTAGCTAGATTAAAATAAGGGTTGTATTTTTCTTATGTTGTTGGAGATAAATATCTCTTACTATAGAGGACACATGATGTTGTGGGACCCATCATCTATTAAAAAAAAGAAAAAGTGATGGCACAACTTTTTATGTGAGAGGAACATGAGATAGTTATCTCATGTAAAATAAGAGAATGATTTCCCTTAAAATAATACCAAGGTTCAAAATACATTTTTTTTTTCAGAGTCTAGTTCAAAACTATTTTCACAGGCAAAATAATATACTGGTATTTGCTAAATTTAACACATACCAAACATGGTAAATATATTTTATCTATACCACTTTTCCACGAATTCTTTCATATTCTTCATACCAAACACTCCCTAAGTGTCAATTTTAAATTCCGAGAGTCCAATTGTGTAGAATATTTTGTCAAAATAATTTTGACATAGTAAAAATTTTCAAAAATCGGTTCAACCAAAAAATTGATATCGGGTTAACATCAGTTGAACCCAATTCAATTGTTTTTGATCAGATTACATACATGACCAATTAATTAACTGAGTCGGACCAATTAATAGTCCAATTTCCCATTCAACCGGTTCCACCGGCTGGTCAGGCTGGATTTAATAACAATGCTCTATCCAAATTATCATTTAAAATTTTACGAAAGAAATATTAAAGGAGCGTTATGAGAAAAAGTACAATTTTTTTTGTAAAAATAAATAAATACAAAATTTATATTAAAAGTTACATACTGAAAAAAATAGTATTGTTATCAAAAAATAAAAAATAGTACGATATTGCCATAATTAATAGTAATGTAAACCCCATATATGACTTAATTGCAAATATTTATATTTTATTTTTTATAATTGATGAAGTTAATTAAACAAATAATTCATAAAATTATGATTAATTGTACATAAATAAGGGGTTCATTTGGTTTGAAAATTGGTTAATTTGCATTCCATATTTTAGCAGGGTGCATTATTACAACTTTATATTTTAGCAGGATGCATTATTACAACTTTATTTTTCAGTGTTATGAAATTAGATATGATTAGCGATATTTTGCTTAACTTTTGGCTAAGAATGGTAACCGCGTAGGTAATGCACCCTTCACTCCACCTTATTCTCGTCACAAAATTTTATGGATAATTGGATATTTGTAGGTATCTAATAATTTCAACTAAAAATGTAAACACAATATATAAATAAAATTACTTTTAATATCACATATCACAGTTTTGTTTAACAATTTAAAAAATGTTAAGAAACTAAAAAAAAATACCCCTGCAAAGCAATTAATTTAATTTAAAAGTTTAAATTACCAAGTAAATACTCATCAATGACCCATTTTTTCGTTCTACTTTATGATGAGTTTGTCACGGAAATTCTGATATCATATAAAGAATCATTTCTTTTTTTTTTTTCCGGATAAATTATAATGAATCATTTTTTTGAAGTTACTCAACCCTAATTATAATGAATCATTTCAGCCTAGAAGTTTAAGCAGTTAAATAAAAAATCATTAATAATTTTATATTATATCTCTCCAACAAACAAAATAAACCAAGTTCAAATTTATATTTTTTAAATTTAATTTACGTAAAATGTTTATTAAATAATATATATATATATATAATAAATTATAGCCATCGAATAAAAAATTCATAAAAAATGTCAAATTTTTTAATTTAACGTTAATGTCAAATTATCGTGTGCCTATATATATATATATATATATATATATATATATATATATGGAAAAAATATTTCTCCGGCAACTTGAGATAAGCTTATCTCCGGCCACTCCAAAACTACGTTATTTTGTTTATTTATTTTTTTATATTAATTGATTCACCTTTAAATGGTTATAATTCTCTTTTTCTCTCTCTTCCTTTATTACTATTGATCTATCTTTGTACGGTTATGATTTGGTAGCCGGAGATAAAATTATCTCCTGCAGTTTGAGAAATGATAATCATCTTTTTATAGGTTTTAGCGGTTGTACAGTGACTGCACCTAATGATTGGTGCAGTCATATAAAACTATATCGTTTTATAGTGTGAAAGCATTAAATATGAAAATCATAATCATAAAAGACAGAAATAAATATAAAGCATTGAATATGAGGAATCATAACCATAAAAAAGTGGAAATAAATATAATATTTCTATTTTTTATAATTAATTTTGAACACGAACTTCCTTTATCCCAACCAAAACGACGTTGTTTTCAGGTGACTACACCAATGCTTATATGCAGTCATATTACAAATTATTTTGTTATATATATATATATATATATATGTTTGAATTTGGATTTACGTAGCGTACAGATTCGTATGTTCTTGTCTTCAGGTCAAGGTTGCATATTTACATATTTGACCTGTCCCTATGTTTTGGCGTATAGATACAGCCAAATGTAGTTTACAGACATGAATACATGAACAAATCGTATGAATACAGGTATACCGAAAAAAGAGAAATAAAAAATTAGGTATATGCCTCACCACCATTAGAGGGCAGCGAGAATATACGGTTGCCACGTGAACTAATGGAGAGTAGGACCCTTCCATTGTCGGTTGCATCTACCAACCGATAGGACTGGTCACAGTGAAAATTCTCTCTCGCCATTTGGATTTTGAACTTGGAGGGAATAATATGTGATATTATGATTTGTTATTCCTCCAAATTTAAGTTGTTCTCATCTCACGGGCATATATAGTAACAAAAATTAATGGAGTCTTTTAAGGGTGTTCATGAATCAAAATATCCTTTTAGTACATTATAAATATAATTTAAAAAATTATCAAAATTTTAACTTCTTATATCTCTACTTCCCGAACCTTTCTTTGGCCGTAAAAAAGTTAAATACTAAAATAAGTGAACATAATTTATGTCATACAATAACATTATTTGTGTGTCACAATATCCTATCCTTGGATTTAATTCATCACCTATTATCTGTTAGTATTTCTACGGCAAATTGATCGTATTACAAATTTTGGTGAAGAGATTTTCTTATTCAAAGCTGATTTGAAATGTTTTTTCATAGTAGAACAGTCAATCCTGTCAACTATACTGACGGGTATAGTCCCGTCAACAAAGTTGACAAGACTCCCCTCACATGGCGTGATTGCGTTGAGTTCTGTCAAGTTTGTTGACAAGACCAGTCTAGTGAGATTTTTTGACATATTTAGTCCTATCAACTTTTGTGACATGTTGCGGCTCCATAACCGAAACCCACCCCTCCCTCCCTCCCTGTGCGCACCAATTTTATCACTTCTCTCTCTAAACTTCTCCCAATCTCTCACTTTCATTTTTTTCCTCCTCTATCTAAATCCATTTCTCCTTTTTTCTCCCAAGCTGCCTCATCTCCTCTGCCCCCTTTCTCTCTAAATTCTTTTCTCATTTTTTCTCCCAGGTTGCGTCATCTCCTCTGCTGGGGCGTTCCTCTTAGCACCAATTTTATCACTCCTCTCAGCTAAAGGAATGCCCTTGCTGCTAAGAGGAATGCTCCAATAGAGGAGATGACGCAACCTGGGAGAAAAAAAGAGAAAGGAATTTAGAGAGAAGGAGGGCAGAGGAGATGAGGTAGCTTGGGAGAAAAAAAGGAGTAAGGAATTCAGAGAGAAGAAGGAGAAAAATAAAAGTGAGAGATTGGGAGAAGTTTAGAGAGAGAGAAATAATAAAATTGGTGCGCACGGGGAGGGAGGGGTGGGTTTCAGTTATAGAGTCGAGACATGTCACAACAGTTGGCGAGACTAAACGTGTCGAAAAATCTGACTGGACTAGTCTTATCAACAAATATGACTGCTCTACTATGAAAAAACATTTCAAATCAGCTTTGAATATGAAAATCTTTTCACCAATATTTATAGTACGGTCAATTTGCCGTATTTCTGCTCAGGTAATGTACAAATCCTACAAGGACCAGTGCCTTGTGCCTTTCTGCTTCATGAAACCTTCTAGGTAAAAATTAGGCGACCAAATCATCTTTCATCTTAGGAGTCTTAACAATCTAAATGTTAGTAATAACACAATAGATTATTTTTTTTATGTGAAACAATCTAATTGACTGGTTGAGTATGGCACCTATTACATCATTTAATTTAATGGTTTATCTTAATAAGACCTAGTATGGTAACATGTAACTTAAGTATGGAATTATGGTACCTATTACATAAATCTAATGTGAAATTTAATGCATTGAGAAGATCCACTCCGGATCCATTCACGTATCATTGTGCTGTAAAAATGCCGTTTTTAGAATAAATACATTGAAAGCATATAATTTGCAAAAAGTGATACTACTTATTACAATGCTCTTTAATCTGCTATCTTGTTCTTTTAACTTTTTCTTGTGCGCTAATGTAGTTTTTTAACATGTGTGCCCATAATTAGTTAGTTCACAAGGAATTATTTGCTGTCAATTTTTTAACATTTCATCCTTGATTGTGTCAATTACTGTGACCCCAAAAGCTCTTACTTGACCAATCAAGATACGTGACACTACCAACCGAGGGAGTTCTTTGACTGTTGCAATTTTAAGTTATAGGAACTTTCTATCTCCTCCTGCAATATTCATTATCAAAAATAGTTATGATATATACAGCTGAATCTGTACCTATGAATTATTATTATCAAATTATTAAGATTACAAGCATCAACACCAATGTTTGAAGAACTTGCGTAAGGCACCCAACAAAACAGGGAAGAATGTACATAAATGAGAAACAGAAAATAAGTCATCATTCCTAGTATTATCACATAATTTGTTTTTTTTTTCAAATTGATTAGATTATTCCAAATGATTAATAATACAAATATCAAGGTTTTTGCATTGCATAAGTTTTTTTTTTTTTTTTTTTTGGTGAGTACATTGCATAAGCTTCTTAATGCAATAAAATGTTGTTTAGGTGAAAATTTACTAAACTAACAATTAAAATGTGATCCATACCTTGCAGGCTTTTAGCAAAGGCTGTAAAAATGACGATCTGAAAAGCGTAATGGCATTTCCAAGCGAAGTTCCATCCCATTCTGCCATCAAACAAGGTATTAAAATCACTTTCACTAGTACCGGAACACAAGGTGCATTTAGCATTAGAAGGAACGCATCATCTATATATATATATATAGACACATATACACTATATCCGACGGGGGATGGCAATGTGAAGTTTCTACAAAAATGAAACTTAGGTTGTCCGAGAATAAAATAAACATACCACCATCCACATCAGCTCTCATGCCTTCATTATTAAGCTCTTCTAAAAGCTGCAACGTTACAAATCATTATATTAGGATTTCCATAACATAAGAAATGTCCAGAAAGGCAGAAATTTTCAGAAAGTAGTATCTTGATTTAATAAAAAAGTGGAATACGGGTCTATTTTAACCCGCTTTAGGTATGTCAAAATGTGATGTTTTCCTTATCCACATGAAAATTCGTTGGAGAAGGGTGCAAGTATCTTTATGCAAGTGTCTTACTACCCGAGGTAATAAATAAGAACATCCCTATTGAAAACTAAGCAAATTGAGTCCGAGGGAAGCTTCCCTCTCTCACCCTGGATTGCAGATCAAAAAATTATCGTTGCAGAACAAATTTACCTGCGAAAGGGAGGGTACTGTAGTAGGATCAAACTCCTCGCACCGATTTGGATCAATAGGGACACAAATACGGCCTAAAACAAATAAGAATTACCAGGTAAAAAGCATAAGATCAAATCAGCTAATGAATCTATCTAATAATTTTAAGGGAAGATAGTTTAATCGTTTAAATTTTCTTATTAAAAAATCAAAAGATAATACCATAGGATTAAAATGTCGTCAGTAAATTTTTAAACCTAAAAAAAAAACTCAACAGGTTATGTACAATTTTTAGATACTGACCCGTGTTTGGATGTACGCAGAACGGTGCTTTAAGCAAATGGTTCATATGTTTTGTAACCTAAAACATAAAATAGTGTTAATGAAATATAAAAAGTATAGACTTAAAGTTAGTCAAAGGTATTATCGGTCTTCTATATGCAGTTAATAGACAAACCTCCATATCTAGCCTGGGGTAAGTAAAAAAGAACACAATCTCTTCAACGCACCTACGCAGCCCTTGTGCCTACAACAAAAGATTAGGAAAACATTAATAATCAATAGTGACGTCAAATAATGCTTGTTTCGGCAAAACAAGGAAAAATTTCCTGCAATGAATCATACAATTTACAACCATCATATACAAACAAAGGAAGCACGTAACTACTATAGTAGGCCATAGCAAGAATTCACAGATCAATCCTATTGCTCACGAGATCCATGTTTATTCTTTCTTTTTCAACTATGCGTGTAAATATTGCAGAGAGCAGGTGCCATTGTCACCTTATAATCTACATTCCCTAAAAGGGATTTTTTATACCTTATGTTTTCCAGATTGCAGCAACTGTTTGCACTGTTCCCAACGAACAACATTAATGTCTTCTTTTGCACTAGAGGTTCGCCTACCCTCTTGCCACTTTCCCCTAAGTTCAGAAGCAATAGCTGCAAAATTAAATCGTGCATTGTATAAGATAATAACAGGAAAATGCCATAACAAGGTTCATATGAAGGGGGGCAGAAAGAAAAACGTACATTCATCAGGAATCATGTTTAGGATCTTCTCATATCTCTCCTCAGTAGCAAGAATATTTTGACTTATAAGCAGTTTTTTCTCAAAAAAGTCCTTGAGAACATTAGTGTATGATGTCCTAGAAAAATAAAACACTGCTTAGGATATGAAATAAGAGCTCTGGTTCAGGAAGCTAATCATTCATATTAAGACTTACGCCAAGAAAGGATGAAGAGTGGCACCCGTCAAAGAAACTTTCTTGTGACTATTTTCATTGCCCTGGACAGAATATGAAATCAACAAACACTTATACAAGTATTGACAAATCCACTGGTCGTTACAAAAGTATACTACCTTATATACACAAAAGTAGTCAGCAATGGCAGCTCTTTTCTCATTGGTCAACCTGTATCAGTAGAGGTAACATATTTGAATCTTACTGTGTATGACCACAAATAGCTACAGGAAAAATTATAACCTTTGAATCTTTAGTGTCTCACCTTCTTGCCCTCCCATCACAGACCCAACAATGAACACCCCTACGTCCACTATAGACCCAGAGAATGTGTTTGAAACCAAAGTCATCTGAAACAGTAATCCCAAAATAGAAATCAATACAACAGTTTCACTGAGTGCTGAGACCTTTTCCCCCCATTGATTTTATGCAATGATGTACGGCATAAAGTAAATTCAATCACCAGATAGGTTCAATCTAGCCTCGCAGTTAGTTAGTATATATAAGTTAAAGGCAAGTTGGATATTCTATATCCCTCCCATAGTATTTTGACTATTTTCATATATGATGAGCATCTGAGCCTGAAGGCTTATACAAAGGAAAAAAACTATCTTTGAAATAAAGATTAAGCAATATGAACAATCACAAACGGGATGAAAACAAATACAGAAGAGATGTCTGACGAACCTCACCGCATGTAATAAACGTAATTAAAATCAAATGATATTAAATATCAGTAAGTGAAGGCCAACGCAAGCACTGTGCCTCCTCTAATAGGTATATTAGGCATTGTTGAAGCCATATATTTCCCAGCAACAACAGTGATTCAGGTAAGTCAGATGTTGAAATGTACAAGCTATAGCCTAGCCTAGCCTACAGTTATAAATATTCAAGTAGGAATGATGTCTTTCAGCTTCCGCAAATGCTGAGGATGACCAAATCCAGTAAAGTCACCTTCCCAGCTATGCTATGAATTGAAAGGATCATACTTGTGAGGCGAGCTTGTTTTATTTGGGAGGATTTCTACTAGGTGACTTATGTCCATTCCATGTTCTTTGAATGTAATATGACAAGTACTGCTATCTTATTATTTCAAGGGTTAAGTTTGCTGTTTAATGAACAATATAAATACAAATATTGCACCACCTTTACAATGTAAGAAGCAAATTACTACCTCTTAAGGAAGTATCAATCACTTTGATAACTATAGTCATCAATGGCCAGCAATCCAAGCAAACGTCAGCACCAGAGCAGCAATATCGAACATCATCATAGTCTGTCATATCCTACAGAACCCCCCCAAAAAAAGGAGTAAGAAATGCAAAGAAGGGGACAGTAGCTAAAGGTTTCACTTGGAGACCGAAGTTGAAAAATCTTACAATATCAAAAATCAACTCCCTCTCAACTGGATCAATCTGTGCATAGGCTTGCCTTTTTGCAGGCTGAGCAACATATAAGGAACATGTTAGGAGAAATAAACAAGAACTGAATAAAAAGATCAAAGCAAACAACATTACTACTAAGACAAGGTTGATGAAGAAGAATAACTGCATAATTATTTTCAGTCAGAGCTAGTAATCAACAAACACCGCATGAATTATAACAATTTTGAAGCATAATAATGAATTTTAGGTACAACATGATTTTGGAGGAGAGAAGGGGACATGACATGGTACCTCGACATTGTAGACAGGTCCCATATCAATCTTTAAAGGGGACTTATCTTTGATAGATTTTTCGAAATCGAGGGCATTGTTGAAAGATTGGAAACGCACAAATATATCATTGTCCAGCGTGAAGGCAAACTCTCTTCGGCTAGAGTAAGATTCATCACAACCAGGGTGCTTCCCATCTACAATTATACCCACAAAATTAATTAATTAATTAATTCAGGATGCATTGTTATTCAACTGAAGCGCATGCGTTTGGTGGTGATTAAATTTCAATAGAAAGATTACCATTGCCATAAGACATCCATCTATATATATCAGCAAAAGGAAACAGCTTTCCTGGAAAATAAAGAATGAAAATAAAAGAGAAGAAAACCCTTAACTTCAGAGATTAAAACCCAATACAAAGCAATAGAAATTATACTAATTTCCAAAAAAAAAAAAAGATAAATAAAGAAAGAAAAGGGTAACTAACCGTAATATAGTTTGAGATGATTGGGATTGAAATCAAGTTCTTGCTGTGGCCTCATTTTTATGCAGAATAATATGATCAGAGAAATTATTGTATTTGTGAAACGGCAAAATTGCAAATGATTGAGTGAAGTGAAGTGAAGTTTGTGTTAGATGGCGGGAACATCGACAATTATAGCGGGAAACTGAGAACCTTAATGGGCCTTGGCCCATTTCGTTTTATGGACTGTCTTACACAAGCGAGCTCTCATTACTCTCATAAATTTACGAGTAAGTATCATTTTCGGTTTTCACCAAATTTTACGATATCTGATTTAGTTCTTAATAAATAAAAAAGTTATTTGTGGTCCTTAAAAAATTTAAAGTGGATCTATTTTAGTCCTTTTAAGGGACTAATATGAGTCTTTTTTGAATTTGTGAGGGACCACAATTTCAACTAATTGAGTTTATTTTGAATTTCTTATGGATCACGAATAGCCTTTTTATTTGCTAGAGACTAAAGGGGACATCGTGAAATTTGCTGAGTACCAAAAAGGGTATTTACTCTAAATTTATTAATTTGTATTTTTATATTATATTATATATTTTAAAAATTAAATTACTTTTTATGATAAAATCTAACTTAGAGTAATTTATATTTTTAATTTTGTTTATTTTAAATTAATATAATTTATTATTTATTTTTCTTCTCTCTTGTTAATCAACTATTACTAAATAGTAGCTTCTTATGGTTTTCTTCCTCTCTATTATTTATCGTCATCTTTTGAAAGTCAAATGTTTTTTTTATACTTGAAAAAATAGAATTGCGAAAACTATTAACTTTTTTTTTTAATTTTATAAAACCATTATACAAAAATAGTACTATTTTTCACTAAAATGACCTGCCAATTTTTTATCACAAAATTCAGAAATATATCCCATGTGCGTATTACTGTTTTTAATATTATGATACCATGTGTGTATTTTTTGTAGTTTTTTATTTTTTGGATAAATCCTAGCGCGTGCGATCGAAAGCCAAATAATATTCTAATACGCCACAAATTAAGAATAGAGATAGAAAAAAAAAGGTAATAATTTTAGTTTATTTATTCATTTTACAAAAAATTATAGAGTTTCTTAATAATTTTCTTCTACTTGTAGTTGTTCCCTCCAATCATTTTCTTTGATGTCTCTGATTTTCTGGGAAAATCTGTGTTACTCTTGCTCTGCTTTCCATTGGGTACACGAGGAAGTACAAGAGTGAAAGACGGAAACTTCTCTGCTTCTACGAAGCTCACCCTCCTTTTTCCAATTTCCCTGATCACCGCACAATCACTCTCCTCCATAAAGGTACAGCTTTTCTTCCTCTCTGTTTTTTCTACTTTCACTCTATTTTCTTTTCTCTACTTATTCCTTTTTTTAAATGCTTACGAAGTGTTCGAGGTAATTCAAAATTTGTTTTTTCTTTCAAATTTTCGTTTTTCTACACATGATCGGTTTGTCTTGCTTGTGGGTCTTCACTATTTTCACGAATAAACTTATGCTGTCGGTGAATAACTGTATTCTTAGGTCTGGGGCTTGGTCTTGGTGGTTGCTATGGATAATCTGACTGTGACTATAATTTTTTTCCCCTTCTGGGGTTGGCTGAAGTTGACTAAATTTACTGGGTCATTTTGGTTTGGACCTTTAGTTGACTCTGTAGTCTCACACAGTTGGGAATGTGTAGGCTAACAAATTCTAAAAGTTGTATTGATCAACACACTGTTTGGCTAACAGAGGTTGTAACATTTGCTTCATAAGATATATAAATGATTGCTTGTTTGTTGTTTCCTTTTTCTGTGTTTGGGGAGGCTAAAATTGTGATGCATTTTTCTTAATTGATTATAGAAATTTTTATTTATTTATTTATTTATTGGTTATGGCTTGTGATACATTTGTTTCACAATTTTTTTATGATGTCTTCGAGTAATTGATATTTAGAAGTCTTACTCTTTGTCTTCTTTCATTACAATACGTAAATAGAGGTGATTGGATGGACAAACATTCTTGGGATTCTATGCCAACTCATGGTGCTACAGGTGCTTCCTCGTACTTCATATGTATTACATACTTTCTTGCTTACTTTTTTTTTTAAGTATAAATTTTTAAGCTGTTTTTATAGGTCCATCTGAGGTTTTCTCGCTTGATGTTGCTAAAAAAGCGGGAAGCAGTACATGGGGGATACCACAGTGGAATGATGCATTTCGTGCTTCAAGTGATGCTAGCTTATTTTGTAGTTCACTTCCTGTTCTTCCACTTGAAAAACGTAAATTTGAGATACTGTTACTGATATCTGAATTCAAATAACTCAAGATGATTACTTAGATCGTTGTTTTCCTCTAATTTCTCCATATGCAGTAACTTTTACTGATTCAGAGCCTTATGGTCATTCTGTTGATGATAACTTGCCGGTATTAGACAAAGTTCACATAGAGGATGAGGGACAAGATCCACTTGAAAATATTGAAATCAATGAAATTGGAAACACGCTTCCTGATGATGAAGATGAGCTATTAGCTGGGATAATGGATGATTTTGACTTGAGTATGTTGCCCAACCTACTGGAGGATCTGGATGAACATGATCTTTTTGGCAGTGGAGGGGGTTTTGAAATGGATTTCGAACCCCAAGAAAGCCTCAGTATTGGTATATCAAAGATAAGCTTGTCTGATGAATTTCATTCAAGTAGTATTGGTCATTATGCAATCCCAAATGGCATAGGAACAGTGGCTGGGGAGCATCCTTATGGAGAGCATCCATCAAGGACATTATTTGTGCGGAACATCAACAGTAATGTCGAGGACTCTGAATTAAGATCACTATTTGAGGTATTTAATTTTAAAGTTTAAACCAATACTTCAAGAGAGTTATGGTTATCTTTGAACTCAATATTTAATGTATTTGGTGATAATGCTTTTGCTTTTTAGTTACATATATAGTCTGTCTTTGAATTACGATGGCAAATGAGGTATTGTATTAAGCCCATGCTTCAATAGAGTTACATTCTTACTCTGTCTGTTTACTTGCTGATTTACAAGTTTGTTAGGGCCTTTAAGCTTCTATATGGTCATTCAGGTGATAACTGTTTAGGTTGTAGGTAGGCATTAAAAGTTACTTAGAAGTTAACCTTTGGATTTGTTAGGTTGAAAGTTGGAATGAGTCAATATTTTTCAGTTTTATTGTTAAGCTTGATATTTAATAAATGATAAAGTAAAAACTTCTAAGGTTCTTAAATAATAAATGCTTGCTTAGTTTTTCATTGATTCTTATAATAAGTTTCAAAAGTTTTGAAGAATATGAAACTTTGTGGCAGTGAGGTTGATGATATTCACTATTATATCTGATTGGAGAGGAATGCATGCATTTTTAAAAGTGTTTCTTTTCCTGTTCAGATGTTGTGGGATAGGGTTGTGTTTGTGGACTTTCTTTGGTGCTCTTCACATGGTTTGAAAGAGTTTCTTAAAGATTTTTTATTTTATTTTTCATTTTTGAGGCTGTTAAGTTCAGTGTTTCTTTTGCTTTCTCTATTTTGGACGATATCATCTCGTTGTACTTTTCATCCTTCACTTTTATAAATTTTCTCCTTTTGTATAAACAGGTTTTCAATTTGTTGAAATGTAATGGTTTGTTGCATGCAAGGGTTTTCTTTTCCTTTCTTACTTTTTTGCTTGTTCTAAAGGATACATTATGAAATCAGCCTTGAGATATATATTTAAATGAAACGGTGAATCCTAAAGGGCATTTAATTTCTAGATTGAATGTAGGAAATATCCTTTTAATTTGTGGTAGATGGTTGTGACGCATCTCATCTGAAAATAATTTATTCATTTATTAAAAGTTATATGCTTGAGGGCGAGCCTTTATTTTGTAGTTATATACATATAGAATGTCCTGGTGAGGTTTGTATGGAGAGCCTTGGTTTATCTTTGTATGATTTAGTGACTTTCTGAGCTTGTATCTAGGAGGGTTGGTGAGAGAACATAGTTGGAGCTTAAGTAGGGTACTTTTTAATTAGACAATTTATACATATTTTGATTAGTATACAACTCTAAAGATCCTTCCTCTTTTTCTCCCTTTATTTCACTATTGTTAATGTTGATTCCTTGTTTCTTTTCTTTTTTTCTTGCCCCGTCTTTAATAGCAATATGGAGATATCAGAACATTGTACACTGCATGTAAGCATAGGGGCTTTGTGATGATATCTTACTATGACATTCGAGCTGCTCGCACTGCAATGCGTGCTTTACAAAACAAGCCCTTGAGACGAAGAAAACTTGATATTCATTTTTCAATTCCCAAGGTTTGCTTTATATAGCTGAACTCAGGGTTTGACTAATTATCTTTGATATTTTCTGTTTCCTATGCATCTTTTTTTATGCTGGTTTCAGGATAACCCCTCAGAAAAGGATATTAATCAAGGAACCCTTGTAGTATTCAATTTGGATCAATCAGTATCAAATGATGACCTTCGTCAAATATTTGGGGTTTACGGAGAGGTCAAAGAGGTAAAAATTTAATTATGTATATGTTTTAAATCTCAATGTATTTTCTTTGATCTCCAACTAATTTGTATCTAGACTCTAGTGCATGGAGTAGTTGTAATTTTTGGTCTTAAAATTGCAGATCAGGGAAACGCCACATAAGAGACACCATAAATTTATTGAATTTTATGATGTTAGAGCAGCAGAGGCTGCTCTGAAAGCATTAAATCGAAGTGATATTGCTGGGAAACGCATCAAACTTGAACCCAGCCGCCCTGGTGGATCACGTCGAAAGTAAGTTGGACTTTATCTTTGTTAGTTTGTTATAAATATTTTGTCTGTCAGTAAACATAATTGTTCACCTTTGACCTGGTGTCTTAGTACTTCTTCACATAATAGAAAAATAGCGGCAGTGCTTTAATAAGATACAGACTTTGGTTTCAGCAAAATCGTGCAAGTGACTGCTTAGAAAATCAGAACCTTATTACTTTCATTTTATTGGCTTGCTTGTCCAATTCTAAATGAACTGAAAATGGGTAGCATTTCATTTAGCAGTAGATTGGTTCTTGTGTATTAAAAAACTATATGATATGTTAATCGTAAGTAATGGCGGTGAAACACTAAAGTTTCAAATTAATAGGAAGTTTAATGAGCATGATTAATGTGATGAGGGATTATAATTTGTTGATATGGTTTGCCATCTACAACTTGTGAATGTCACTCAAAAGGTGTAAAATACTTTAGATCTACACCAAAGTTGATTGGCATAAGGAAGTAACTTTGTTACTCTTGTAAGCCATGTTTCCACAATTATTTTTTTCCAGCTTTCTGAGGAACTCCAGTTAGGCAACTACATGTTATTGCTTCCTCCTTTTTTGTGGTTATGTATAGTACATGCAATTCTTTACCGGGTATTTTTGTCTTTTCAATCTTGTAGATTTAAAGCTCTCATCTCTTGTACGTTTTTGTTTTTATTCTTCTCATTTTGTTATTAATTTTTTATTGATATAGTTTCGGTTGGGCTAATATTATATAATATATCCTTACGTAAATGGCAATGTAATATGTACATAATTGAACCTGTTAAAAATTGGCGTTTTTCTCCTTTTAGCTTGATGCACCAACTGAGTCAAGAGCTGGAACAAGATGAAGCTCGAACTTTTAGACATCAAGTGGGTTCACCTATTGGCAATTCTCCTCCTGGTAAAATATATTATCTCTGAATCCACTCTTCTCTCTCATGCACAGTTCTAGTTCTTTCATTTAAGAAAGTTATCTCCAGTTACAAGCTAAACTAGTTGGTAATTTTGCTCAGGTAACTGGGCACAATTTGGTAGTCCAGTTGAACATAACCCATTAGGTTCTTTTGGCAAATCCCCTGTTTTGAATTTTGCCAACCCTATGAATACCAACCATTTGCCTGGATTGGCTGCAATTCTTTCCCCTCATTTATCAACTTCTCCAAAGATTGCACCAATTGCCAAGAACCCTGGAAGGGCTAATAATGCAAATCAGATATTTGCAAGCTCTGGATCGACACAAGGAGCAGCTTTTCAGCATTCTATATCTTTTCCTGAACAAAAAATAAATGCAAATCCTAGGCCTATATCTACTTTTGGTGAATCAGATTCAAGTTCGTCAAGTATTGGAACAATGTCTGGCACTCAATTTCTTTGGGGAAGTCCAACTCCTTACTCAGAGCATTCAAACACATCTGACTGGTCTTCATCTCCTGTTCGGCTTCCATTTAATTCTGGTGGACAAAGGCAGGGTTTCCCATATACTGGTAGGCACAGTTCTTTTCTTGGTTCTCACCCCCATCATCGTGTAGGATCTGCTCCAACTGGCCTTCCTCTTGATAGGCATTTTAGTTACTTTCCAGAGTCACCTGAAACTTCTCTCAAGAGCTCGGATGTGTTTGCGAGTATGAATCACAATGATGAGAAATTTTTTATGAACATGGGTGCTCGTGCATCTCTAGGTGTTGGTATTGGCCTTCCAAGAAATACGACTGAAATGAGTTCACCTAATTTCAGAATGATGTCACTACCTAGGCATGGTTCCTTGTTCCTTGGAAATGGTTTGTATTCTGGACCAGGAGCAATTAACATTGAGGGATTAGCTGAATATGGTCGAAGTAGGCGACCTGACAATAGTGGGAACCAAATTGATAGCAAGAAGCAATACCTGCTTGATCTGGACAAAATTATGAATGTGGAAGACATAAGGACTACTTTGATGATTAAAAACATTCCTAACAAGTAAGAGCTAAACAATTATCCTAGTTGAGTGATCACTATACTAGCAATTTGAATAGAGTGGTAATGGTAAGTGATGAATTTCTTAATGATTTTTACCTATTGTGAATTAGGTACACTTCAGAGATGCTGCTTGCTGCAATTGATGAGAATCACAGCGGTAGTTATGACTTTCTCTACTTACCAATTGACTTTAAGGTATACACATCCTACAGATCTGCTTGGTGAAGAGAATCACCTGTGATTTCTCCTGAATGACTTATTTTATAAGGTTTGTTTTTGCTTGCAGAACAAGTGTAACGTGGGTTATGCTTTCATCAACATGGTGTCTCCTTCACACATCATCCCCTTCTATAAGGTTTAAATTCTATACTTTCGCATGTCCGAGGTCATTTTTTTATTTTCTTTTACTTAGTATGTGATGTAAGGTCTCGTTAATGTGCCATCGTATCTTGAGGACAAATGTCTGGATATAGTTGTTCTGATTTCTTTCTTTTTTTTTTCTTTTCTTTTTTCAACAAATAAATATTAATAGGTAGAAAATGTTTTAATTAGAATGTATGAATGTATTGTATTCAATTGTGTATAGAACTATACAAAAGACCTCTATTTAAAAAGGTTAAATGACCTAATGGGCTAAGCCCAAATAACCTACTAGAATAACATAATAATAAATAATACAATACTATTTAATATTATATTATTTCTAACACTCCCTCTCAAGCTGGTGCGTATATATCATAAGCTCCCAGCTTGTTACATATATGATCTATTCGGGGACCTCTCAGAGCCTTGGTGAAAACATCTGCAAGTTGATCACTGGAATTGACAAATGTTGTTTCTATCTCTCCTGATTGAATCTTCTCTCTAACAAAGTGACAGTCAATTTCTATATGTTTGGTCCTCTCATGAAAGACTGGGTTAGAGGATATATGCAATGCTGCTTGATTGTCACAAATGAGCTTCATGGGCTGCTGTTAACATAGATGTAGTTCCTTAAGCAATTGTTTTAGCCAGATGAGCTCACATGTTGCATTTCCCATTGCCCGATAATCTGCCTCTGCACTTGTCCTTGCGACCACGGTTTGCTTCTTATTTTTCCAAGAGATCAAGTTTTCTCCAAGGAGAACACAATACCCCGAGGTGGATCGTCTGTCTGAAGGAGAACCTGCCCAGTCAGCATCTGAATAGCTAGATACCTTTGCATTCCCTTTATTTTTGTATAATAAACCTTTTCCTGGTGCTCTTTTGATATATCGAAGAATCCTGATAACTGCATCCCAATGGGAGTCACAAGGAGAGTCAAGGAATTGACTTGCCACACTAACTGCAAAAGAGATGTCTGGTCTTGTCACAGTAAGATAATTCAACTTTCCAACTAATCGGCGATAACGACCAGGGTCTGCCAATGGCTCCCCCTGTCCGGGTAACAGCTTAACATTAGGATCCATAGGTGTATCAATAGGTTTACATCCCAACATACCAGTCTCATCTAGGATATCCAGTGCATACATCCTCTGACAAATGGAGATGCCCTGCCTAGACTGTGCCACTTCAATCCCTAAGAAATATCGAAGTCTGCCAAGATCTTTGGTCTGAAATTGATCGAATAAGTACTTCTTTAACTGATCAATCCCAACTTGATCGCTGCCAGTAATAATGATGTCATCAACATAGACCAGGAGATAGATGCACTGGCCAGAAGAGCTATGCCTATAGAAGACAGAATGATCGGCTTTACTTCTGGTTAAGCCAAAGGATTGAACAACAGAACTAAAGCGACTAAACCAAGCCCGAGGGGACTGCTTCAGGCCATATAAAGATTTACAAAGCTTACATACCATTCTAGAATTCTCTCCCTGAGCAACAAAATCTGGTGGTTGCTCCATATATACTTCCTCTTGCAAGTCACCATGTAAGAATGCATTTTTGATATCAAGCTGTAGAAGAGGCCATTGATGAATGGCAGCAAGTGCAAGAAATAGGCGAACAGATGCCATTTTTGCAACAGGACAAAAAGTATCCTTATAGTCAAGACCAAATATCTGAGTGTATCCCTTGGCCACCAAACGAGCTTTGAGGCGATCAAGAGTGCCATCAGGACCAACTTTGACAGTGAATACCCATCGACAACCGACAACTGACTTTCCAGGAGTAGCATGAACAAGATCCTATGTGCCATTGGAGTGAAGTGCTTGCATTTCATCAATCATTGCTTGACGCAAACCCGGATGAGAGAGTGCTTCACCTGTGGTTTTAGAAATAGAAATAGACGAAATACTAGAAACAAAAGTAAAATGTGATGAAGAAAGTTTATCATAACTCAAGAAACTATAAAGTGGATGAGGGTTACGAGTGGATCGAATACCTTTGCGAAGGGCAATGGGAGTAATTTCTGATGGAGGATCCAGAGGGGAAGAGTCTACAGCAGCAAGCGGTGAGTCAGTAAGGGTCAAATCCGCTGGAGGCGCAGGCTGATGATGCTGGTAGATGAGAAAACGACGGTCCTCAGGGATGGAGGCAAGGGGCTGCTCCTCCGGGATAGAGTCTCCTGCAACTGGTAAAGACAAATTAAGAAAAGGAACAGGAAGAACTTGATCAACTTGTGTTATCTGAGATAGAATGAAAAGGTTGTTGACCAAGGAAAGTGACATCAGCCGAGACAATATAACGCTTGAGAACAGGAGAGTAGCAACGATACCCCTTTTGAAAACGAGTATATCCAAGGAAAATACACTTGAAGGCTTTGGATATTAATTTATCTTTTCGTAGAGTAAGATCATGAACAAAGCAGGTACATCCAAATACATGTGGAGGTAGAGGATAGGAAGGTGCTCCTGGAAATAAAACACTATGTGGAACTTCGTTATTGAGTACGGAAGAGGGCATGCGATTGATGAGAAAGCAAGAGGTGATTATAGCATCTGCCCAAAACTAAGTGGAACATTCATATGAATTAGTAGGGTACGAGCAGTTTCAACCAGATGTCGATTCTTACGTTCGGCCACTCCATTTTGTTGTGGAGTGTGTGGACAAGTGGTCTGGTGTAACATCCCACGTTTCTCTAAAAAATTAGAAAACTCAAGAGAGACATATTCTTTTGCATTATCACTGCGCAAAATTTGAATAGAAGCACCAAATTGAGTATTTATCTCTGCACAAAATTTTTGATAAATTGAAAATAATTCAGAACGATTTTTCATTAAATAAACCCAAGTGCAACGAGAGAAATCATCAATAAAGGTGACAAAATACTAAAAACCCAAAACAAACATTGTTCGACTCGGACTCCAAATATCAGAATGAACAATAGAAAAAGGAGCATCAGCTCTTTTATCGACTCTTTTAGCAAAAGAGGAGCGAGTGTGCTTTCCTTGCTGACAAGAATGACAATTTAAAGACTTAAGACTGGATAAAAAGGGAACCATATGCTGAAGCTTGGATGACCCAGACGGCTGTGAATTAGCTCAGGAGACTCTGTGAGAGAACAGGCTACTGGAGAAGGTGGTGCAATCAGATAGTAGAGACCTCGTGACTCAATGCCTGCTCCAATCGTCTTCCCCGTACCCGAATCCTGAATAGAAAAGGATTGTTTAGAGAAGGTAACAGTACATGAAAGAGAATGAATCAACTGGCTAACAGAGATTAAATTAAAAGGAATGCCAGGTATATAATAAACAGAACTCAAAGTTAAAAGGAGAGTTGGGTTGGCTTCCCCAATTCCACTAGCAGGAGCCTTAGTGTTATCAGCAAGAGTGACAGGGGGTAGGTTATTAGAATAAGAAAGTGAAGTGAAGAGATTTTTATTACCACAAAGATGATGAGTAGCACTTGAGTCTATTATCCAGGGTCCAAGAGATGATTGATAAAAACAAGCAACATGATTACCAGTGTCTTGGGTTGGCTTCCCCAATTCCACTAGCAGGAGCCTTAGTGCCATCAGCAAGAGTGACAGGGGGTAGGTTATTAGAATAAGAAAGTGAAGTGAAGAGATCTTTATTACCACAAAGATGATGAGTAGCACTTGAGTCTATTATCCAGGGTCCAAGAGATGATTGATAAAAACAAGCAACATGATTACCAGTGTCTTGAGTAGGATGTTGAGAAGAAACCTTCTTCAGAAGTGCCTCATAGTCGGCACTTGAAAGAGTTACTAATCCAGTAGAAGGTGGTGTAGCATCAGTTTGAGCAAAGTTGGCAGTCAATGGCTTCAAATGAGGGTACTTCCTATAACAACGTTCTTCAAAATGCCAAAGATTCTGGAGATGGGGTAGTACTGGAGATGATGCCAGTCGTGTTTTTGGACGCATTACATGAGCCCTCCATCACAAAATAAAATAAAGGAGATGACCAGATTTGAAAAGAGGAGAGGAAGGTTCTGTCTCGGAATGGCCGAATTTTTTTGTTTTTGCGTGAACAGTACCTGTACGGACGCAGGAACAGTGTTTGTACGGACGGTGGGCAGTGCCTGTACGGACGCGATGAACAGTAGGACTGTACGAACGCGTTGAACAGTAAACCGTACGGACTATGAACAGTAAATCTGTACGGACGGTGATCATTTAAATCTGTGTGGACTGTATTGACGGTGAATGGTGGAAATTGTACGGATGCTGTGAACAGTAATTTATTTTTTTTAAAAAACCCGCATGAACAGTGTAGAACCAAGCCGGAGGGACGCACGACGTTAGAGGAAGGAGAGAACGCCTAAGCAGTGGGCTTAGGGTTTTAGCGGAAGCGAAAATTCCCAGAACAAAGAGCGTTGGTACCAAATTAGAATGTATGAATGTATTGTATTCAATTGTGTATAGAACTATACAAAAGACCTCTATTTAAAGAGGTTAAATGACCTAATGGGCCAAGCCCAAATAACCTACTAGAATAACAGAATAATAAATAATACAATACTATTTAATATTATATTATTTCTAACAGTTTTCATTGGTACTTTCCAGTGATTTGCCAGTAATTAAATTTGTGCTGTTCTGAAGAAGTTTGTATACTTCCATTTTATATGTCTTACCATGGAAATTGATGCAGGCATTTAATGGGAAGAAGTGGGAAAAGTTTAATAGTGAAAAAGTTGCTTCCCTGGCATATGCACGGATCCAGGGAAAGGGTGCACTTGTGACACATTTTCAAAATTCAAGCCTAATGAGTGAGGATAAGCGGTGTCGGCCAATTCTCTTTCATTCAGAGGGCCAAGAGATTGGTGACCAGGTTTGTTTTGACTATCAAATGGTTATAATAATTACAAGAATGCTGGCTGGGCATAGTTCCTGACTTTTGAGGTCTTGCAAATCTTTAAAATGAAAAGTGGTTTAAAATTGGATATGATTTATTATACATTTTCACCTTCAACTTCTAGATACAGTGATTAGGACGAAACCTACGTTTGAGTAGGTCAAAGATGTGGGTATAAAGGATCCACTTTGAATGGAGCTTTGCTAGCAGAAAGCTATGTTTTCCCCTAGACTTAAATAGCAAAACGTGCTTGTAAGCTTGACACTAGTGATTTCAAATTTCTTACTTTAAGACAAAATTCGGTCATTCCTTTATGTGGATTTTTTTTGAATGATACAAAGTTGGGGCGGACCCCAAGCTTCATGGACTTGACAGATCTTCACCAAAGCATAGATACATGTACATTGAACTTGAAATGATGGGCTTACTTTTAATGGAAGTTCAAGACTCCACTTTGAGAAGAGATATTTTCATTGTGAGCAAGTGAATGGGATTTATCTTTTTGTTTTTTTATTAAAAGTTCATGAGTTCATATAATTGTTGGAAGTTTGAGGATGTGCATCCGACTCGACTTTTTTTCACATTATTGGAATCTATACAAGTCAGTTATTTGTGTTGTAGTAATTAGTTGGAGGTGAAATGTGCCAAATCATATGTACCGGCTTAGACGATTCACAGACCTAAACATAAAAGACTTGATTTGCACTATTTATTGTAACTGCTTAAGAATTTCACATCATTTATTTCACCTGCTAAATGTACGTGTTCACATGATTGTCAGACCTGAGCATACTATCTATTCGCATGTAGAACTCAAATTATAAGCTAATTGAATAGTTTCTGAGATGTGGCTTTAAGGATAGTCAATGTTGATGTCAAATTGAGCTCTTAGTGAAGTTTGGCTTCTCAATTGCAATATGAAATTGTTAAGTTGTCAGAGTATAACTTTTTTTATTCGTTTGAAAGTTACTTTCCTTGATCAATTAATTCTATTATTTTCCCTTTATTCTTTTTAAGGGCTTGTCTTACTCTTGCTCTGCATACCATTCAGGAACATTTCCTTTCAAGCAATTTGAATGTATGCATTCGTCAACCAGATGGTTCTTACTCAGGTGATTTGTTGGAGAGCCCGAAGGGCAATGTGGAAGAAAAGATAGAGAAAGATTAACTATTTGTTCTAGATATCTTGATCCTAGCTGTAATAAATGGGTTGCAGGACTGCTATAAACTGCATAGCTAATATTGAGATGTACAAAGCTGGTTTATTAAGAAAAGGGGAAGAAAAAAAAAAGATAAGAGAAGTGTTGTATAAAGGTTAAGGAGCAGCCCGGTTATCAGTGGCATGAGTCAGAGTTCCAATATGTAAGTTGTTCATAATAATGATCAAAAGAAAGAAACAGAGAGCAGTTTGTTGATGTGTACAGAAGCCATTGACAGTTAACCAGCGGAAAAGAGTAAGGTACAGAACCATGCTTGGCAGATTGTGCAGGATGACTCCATCTGGGATTTGTTATTTTTTTTTTTTTGTTGCTATCCTTTTGCTGGGGTTTGTATAGAAGGGAAACAAGGAACTATATCTGTCAGTGATGTAAAAAAATTGTTTAATGACTGTAAATATATTAAATAGATACTTGCCACTCTATTTATTTCAGAATAATATAACTGAAAGTGTATATACTTTGAAAATGTTGGAAGTCCTTTGTAGTAGTGTTTTTTCTCTTCATTTGAATGTGACACTCTTGCTACAAAGATAGATATTCTTAGTTGCCAGCTTGTTAAGATTCATTAATATGAATTAAAATTTTATTTGTGAATTATCTTAACCATGTGATTGTCCCACAAAATGGACAATCACATAATTTCCAAAAATGATTGTTCGCCAAATTTTTACCCTGCAAATATTGCCCCACAGAAATGATAAGATTTCAGAGGATAATAGAATATGTATAAAAAAATTAAAGTTATAAAAATTATTTATAATTAATTTATAAAATAAATTTACAATTTTATAAAATAAAAATTAAGAGTACAAGTGTCATTTTTTAAAATAGTGTAAAGTAAAAGATTATAATACTTTTAAATAAATGTACTCTAGTTTAATATACAAAATAAATAATATAATTGTAAGTTGCAACAAATACTTCTACAACAACCTCTTTCTACTACATTGGATTAGTAACATAGATAGATCTATCAACATTATTATGTTATGTTAAAAAAAAGTTTTTTTAAAAATAAAAAATAATTTAAATCTAGTTTTCAATGGTGCCCTGTTATATTGAATATTACCATAACTTTCTACTGTAGAGTCAACATCTAGGCCAGACCCAGTGCAACTGGTACAAAGAAAAGCTTAGTTGCCTTGGTAATCAGCATATAAAGAAAGTTATTAATCACTTCTGCTTCTAATAATAGCAGCCCTTCAAGTTTAAATAGAGCTGCATTATACAGAAATAGATAATCGTGACACTCATTAAAAAAAAAAAAAAAGCCCCCATTTAATACATCATCCAATTCCGAAGGAGACTGCAGATCATTTTAAAAAACACAAATAATAAATATCATACTTTGACGTTATTCTGATTAGGCCATTTCCTTTAATTTAATAGATAAATAAACTAATTAAAGGTTAGAAAGTATTTCTAACCTTAGCACGATGCTTATTCTTTAAATATTGTTTTAAATAGAAAGAAATACAATTCAAGTATACTACTAATATAAGTGAAAGAGAGTGCAAATTTTATGACAACTAAATTAAAGAGAGTGAAGAATCGACGAAATTTTGAAATATTACAAAATTGTGAAATATTACAAAATTTCTAACCTTAACACGATGCTTATTCTTCAAAACTGTGATATATATACGGGGAATTAGGGGTGCTAAACAAACAAGTGGCCTTTCAGGGGCCTTTGGCTCGGCTCGTGAAGACCTGAACCTACATGTCTAAAATTGGTTGTTGGCAACAAGTTTGAACTTGTATAAAAGCTCGTTTAATAAAAAGGTCTCAGGTTCCAATTCAAAAGTTCGGCCTTAGAGCCTATCAGGCTGACTTAGTATTTTTTTTTTATATTTTTTATACTACTTGTAATAGCCCTCTCTGTCTCCTCAATCCATTTCACCCCATTTTATTGGTTAAACAAGCTTTTTGAATGATTTTGTTCTATGTTATGCTATTTGGATACACTTTGAATTTACAAATATTTATGAAATTGCCAGTGTTGTTGATTGTATATTCTGTTTGGATAAATTTTTGTAATTTTATTTTTTTTAAACTGGCTAACAGGCTAAATCATGCTTTTATTTTTTATAAATAAGTCAGGCCACAGGCCAATAATTGTATTTATAACAGGTAACAGGCTGACACATTTAAACACAAGCTTACCCTTTTAAGACCAAAGTTCGGCTCGGCTCGACCCATTAACACCCCTACAGGGAATGATCCGCTTATAATTTTTTTTTACAAATTTTTATAAATTACATTATATATCACCGAAAGTACATATTGTACTTGTACATAGTATAATTTGTAAGAGTTTATAAATAAATGTTTGTGAATATAACTTTTCTCCAATATATATATATATATATATATGAGGTGGCGGCAGGCAGCCTTAATATCCCAAAGAAATATTGACCTCATGCCTCCTAAAGGTTATAAGAAAACTTACCAGGCAAAAAAATTAAATTCAAATTGCGTTAATTGCAATTAAAGTATGGGCCATATTTCATCAAACATTTGTGCAAATATGATGTACCACGAGAATAATTAATATTAGATTTTACCAATAATTATATAAAACGGAATGGTAAAGAAGTTAACCTCTCTTTAGTATTTTTCTTTAAATTTATAAAGTATTGTAAATAAAAAAAATGCTTCAAAATAATCTAGAAATTATAGTAATCAAATGCCACGCTTCTCTTCTACCGAAAATTAAAATAAAAATAAAAATCCTCCCTTCTCATAAATGAAAATTCTATATATGAATTTAATTTACCCGAAATTAGATTTTACCAATGAATTGTATAAAACGGAATGATAAAGAAGTTAATTTCTATTTAATATTTATTTAATTTTATAAAATATTGAAAATAAAAAATTGATTCATAATAATCTGACAATTATAATAATTAAATTCTACCTTTCTCAAAAATGGAAAGTTCTATACATAGATTTAATTTACCCGACATCGAATTATATTCATCGTGAATTCTCAAGAACATTGTTGTTAAAATTTCGATTTATAACTATGATTTTACGTTTTTATGATTTTTTTTCATCAAAATGATTTTACTAATATTCCAAATGCTTTTACATTTTTACGATTTTTTTACATTACGATTTTACGTTTTATGATTTTTTAATCTCCTTTCAATTTTACTTAAGATCTTGATTTTAACAACATTGCTCAAGAATGAAGACGATCCCAATCAATCACATGTATAATTTATTTATCTGTAATTGATATATCCATATTCAGTTGAACTTTTTGGGTGGTAAAGTCTGCATACTGGATGTCTCCACTCAAATCCTTATTATACTTATCCCTAACATGAATTTTAATTTAAAGTTCTTATTGAAATGCATAATATTTAACCATATACTAATATACTTTCCAACTTTTTATTTTTACTATTGGATAGAGAGAATCACCATTTGAAACATTGTGGTTGTTAAATCATGCGTTCTGTTTGATAGTGTTTGGTTATTCTTATGCTATTGTTGTTCTCGAGAATAAGTTAATGAACTTTATTAAATTGGTTGAAGTAAATGAGTTTGATTTGAAGTAAAATATAGTACGAAGCCAGAGAATGTTCATTAATAACCGTCCAACTATTACATCATCATCATCATAATAATAATACGTATGCTATTTCCTCCACTAAAATCCCGATTAACGTAACTTTTACTTAAATAAGTACGTTATATATATATGTAGAAGATTTCATTTTGTTATCTATAACACTCAGTGATGTTAAAACAAGTAATATAACGAAATGTGTATTTTCATTTATTCACGAAGGAAGGGAAAAACAGAAAAGAGAAGCCATAGATATTCGTGAATCTTCTTAACGTTTCCACGCAAACTATGTGCATATGAACAGACATATCAAATGATTAAGGTTTCACCAAACCACAAAATGAGAATGACATGAATTGGTGTTCTAACGGTCACACGAACAAACAGAACAGAAAAAAGAAACAAGCACCGTAAGATTTTCGAAGATTTTGTACCTAAGGCATGCCATTAAATTTTTAATAACTTTCCTCTGCCTTAACCTACCTTGTATGAAATGGCAAAAAGGTCAAAAGTCTTAAATTATTTCGGTACAGGTGCTTCTCACTTGTCAAGAACAAATGAACAATTATCACAATACTGTCATAAATACACACGGCTTCATTTAAGTTTAAGTGTAACTGATTTAATCAAATAAAATATTCTCATGTGCATTCTGTGTAACTGTATGTAACAGAATTATTATGTAGGTAAAAAATTACAATTACACTGTGATTAATTAAACAATTCAAATCAAACCCATTACTGTCCCATTTTTTTATTTTATTTTGATATTATCTATCAGTAACGAACGACAAAATTTTTCCTATCAAATTTTAATATAGCTTGTAACTCGAACTCAAAATCATTAATTAAATTGAAACAGCCATGAGCCACATGTTTGATAGTACTAAAGTATAATTCAATAATAGCCTTGGGATACCTTGATTTTGGTGAGATACCAATATTTAATCCTGCCTAAATTTTCATCTATTAAAAAATAATAATAGCCTTGGGAATGCACATACATACATCATAACATAACAAAGTCAAATTGTTAGTGCTGCAGTCTAGATACAAGTAGTCAACCAGGGATGATTATAAAATGGGTTCTGAAAAGTCAACTTTTTCTGATGATGTGGGTGATCTAACTTGCCATTGGCCTATTATGGAGAGAAAATGGCAAGATATAATGAAGGGAATGGGATGGACATTTAAGCTTGCAAATTGATACACACATTCCAATGACATTTAAAATTGGTAGTACAGTTTTTGTGTCTGGCCACCTTTTTGAAAAATATACCAAAGACACACTCTCAAAGGTGGTCACCAACATTTTAACCTACCTACTGTAATATATGTCTGTTGCCAAGGAAAGATTATCTGGCAACATGTAGAGGGCACTTTGCATGGAGGGTCAATGTGAAGAAAAAGAAAAGAAAAAGAAAATCTAAAAGCAAAAACAAATGAAAATGTGAAAGGTGAAGTTAATGCCAGCGGTGTGGTTAACCAAATGTTCAGTCAACTTCCTTGTTCTGAACCCTCATAATGACTATAAATATTCTCTGCTGCACACTTCCTCCTCACAGCATTGCCTTCTCCCATTTACTTCCTTAACCCCCTCTTAACCTTTCATTTCTTGTTCCTTTTCAAACATCATCAACCAAGAAATGTGCAGGAGCATGGTGTTCCCAATGGTGCTCCTCAGGCTTGCAGACTTGGTCTTGTACCAGTTGCTTGCTAACTCTTGTTATAGAGCAGCAAGAAAAATGAAAAGTTATGGTTACCATTTGGGGTATCTGTCATCTAAACCACCACACCAACCTTCAACTTTTCCTAGTATTACCAAATGTGATTTGGAGGGTGGAGGGTCACAAACACTTATTTGTGACATACATAGAGTCCTTTTGAGGTCCCACTCTTTCTTTCCTTATTTCATGCTGGTTGCCTTTGAAGGTGGTAGCATTTTCAGAGCCCTCCTTTTGCTTTTGTCTTGTCCTTTACTGTGGATTTTAAACCATGAGCTAAAGCTTAGGGTCATGACATTCATCACCTTTTGTGGGTTAAGAATAAAGGACATGGAGAGTATTTCAAGGGCAGTGTTACCAAAGTTTTATTTGGAGAATCTCAACCTCCAGGCTTATGAGGTTTTGGCTTCAGCAGGGTCCAAAGTTGTCTTCACATGTGTGCCTAGATTGATGGTAGAAGGATTTCTCAAGGAGTATTTGAGTGTCGGTGCTGTTATAGGTACAGAGTTACACACTGTTGGCTGCTACTTCAGCGGTTTGTTATCTGGCTCTGGCTTACTTGTGAAGCATAGAGCCCTCAAGGATTATTTTGGAGAAAGAAAGCCTGACATTGGGATCGGAAGCTCAAGTGTCCATGATCATCTTTTCATCTCCCTTTGCAAGGTAAATCTCAAGTTAGAAATGCTGTAGAATTACTTAGCTACTGTTACCTATAAGCTCCCTCATGGTACTGTTTAACTCGTGGAGTAAAGTAGCTTTCGGTACTTAACAAAAATCACGGCACAATTTTAATTCCTTAAAAAAAAAAAAAAAATCGACTCGTGGTCAGGCTGAAATTTAAAATAGGATCAGTTAGTTAAAATTGTGGTCCCTTTAAAATTCAAAGAAGATTCAGTTAGTTGAAATCGTGGTCACTCTGAAATTCAAAATAAATTAGTTAATTGAAATTCAAAATACACTAGTTAATTGAAATCGTGGTCCCTGTTAAATTCAAAATAAACTTAGTTAATCAAAATCGTGATCCTTCAAAAATTGAAAGAAGACTCACATAAGTCCCTCAAAAGGACTAACATAAATCTATTTAGAATTTTAGAAAAATCACAATTCAATTTTTTTTTAAGGGATTAAATTAAGTCCTATGATATTTATTGAGTACCCAAAATGTTCGTTACTCTTAACTCGTGTTAAATGTTCTTGACTTTGGTAACCTTTTACATTAATCAATTGTACATTATTATTTCCTTTATTGACATGTTAGTTTTTGTTAGTAGAAGATAGTAAAAATCTAATTACATTTAGATTCTAATTTAGGAGACATGTTTTAATTCTATCAATGTACTATGTCTAATTCCAGCTACATGACAATGACAGGAAGCTTATGTGGTGAACGATAATGAAGAGGGCAAGAGCAGTACAAGCTCAGTGATGCCAAGGGACAAATACCCAAAACCCTTAATATTCCATGATGGAAGACTAGCATTCTTGCCAACTCCCTCAGCAACACTCTTTATGTTTATGTGGCTTCCAATTGGAATTCTTTTGGCCATTTATAGAATCCTTTTGGGTATTTTCCTTCCTTATGAATGGGCAATGCCATTAGGAGTTTGGAGTGGTATAGATCTATGTGTCAAAGGTTGCAGCCCTGAAAAATCAGAGCCAAACAAAGGGGTCCTCTATGTTTGCACTCATAGGACTCTATTGGATCCAGTTTTCCTAAGCACATGTTTGGCAAAGCCTTTAACTGCAGTCACATACAGCTTAAGCAAGGTTTCTGAGTTCATATCCCCTATAAGAACAGTGAGATTAACAAGGGACAGAAGAAAAGATGGTGATACCATGCAAAGGCTTCTTAGAGAAGGGGATTTGGTTGTGTGTCCTGAAGGAACAACTTGTAGAGAACCATATCTATTAAGGTTCAGCTCACTGTTTGCTGAATTGGCTGATGAGATTGTTCCTGTGGCTATGAATGCTCATGTCAGCATGTTCTATGGGACCACAGCAAGCGGTTTGAAATGCTTGGACCCAATTTTCTTTTTCATGAATCCAAGGCCTAGTTATCACATTCAAATTCTTGAAAAGGTTCCTAAAGAACTTACATGTGCTGGAGGAAGGTCTAGTTGTGAAGTGGCAAACTACATACAGAAACAGTTGGCTGATGCTTTGGGATTTGAGTGCACTACACTCACAAGAAGAGATAAGTACATGATGCTAGCAGGGAATGAAGGAATTGTTCAAGAAGAGAAGTGGAGAAAATGCTATTGATGATGTTGTTTTTGTACACTTATTTTATTTTATTTTTTGGTTAACATATTTGTTGTTTTGTTTGTTGTTGGATTGACATTTGTGATTGTGATTGTGATATTAAGAGAACAATGGTGTCAGGCACATTTACCTACACCATGTACTTCTTAAATGAACGCTCAGTCTATTTAGATCAAGAAATGTGCCTATTCCCATATTCCCCATTTAGATCAATATTTAATAACTGTTATGTGAACGCGAGAAGTGATTTTTTTTTCTTTCTCCGAGAGCATGTACTCTCTTCCAAAAATAGAAAATGAGAGGGATTAGAAGGGAATTATAAAAAAAGAAAATAATTTAAATGGAATTATATTTTTTGTTTTGGGTAAAGGATCGCTGAATCAATGTTGGGCCAGGAGTATAAATTTTCTTCCGGAACATGATATAGAGTACAGAGGATGGGCTAAACTAGATATTGGAGGAGAATAGATTCTCTCATGTTAAAATTTTGGGTCTCTTTTTTTTTTTTTCATATTGCTGTAAAAAAAATCTTCTTACGTCACCCATTATTATAATTATGTACATCGAAGAATATATAGTTATAATATTAAAATTATTTTTTGCTCACTTTTCACGTCAACGTACATTTTTTGAAGAGAGAAAAAAATAGCTTTAATAGTATAATTATTACTCGTCGGAATACATAGTTATAATATATAACATGAGAAGATTTTTTTTGCAGCAACATGAGAAATAGATTACCCTAAAATTTTATATGATTTAGTTATATAATTTTTGTATCTATCTCTCTCTTTACATGCATTAAATATGCGAGGTCCAATTATCAAAAATTGACAAAAAAATTTCACATAATCGAGTCATGTGAAATTTTAACATGTGAAGATTCACTTTTATGAAATATCACAACCCTAAGCGATAAATAAATGGATTTAAAAAATTTAGAAATTTTTTTTTAGGATTATTTGTATTATGTTATAATATCTCGGAAATAGATCCTCTTAGATTAAAATTTCATATGAATTGTTATCAAAAAAAAAAAAAAATTCATATGAATTGGTCATGTTAAATTTTTGTATCTATCTCTCTCTTCACATACATTAAATGTGTGATATCCAATTATTATTAATGAAGAGAGAGATACACACAAAAAAATTCACGTAATCAATTCATATAAAAAAAATTAACATGAGAGGATCACTCTCAATATATTATAATAGACAAATAATCCTATAACTTTGTTTCTAAATTTATTTATTTTTGGGTAAACTTTTTTCTAAATTTTTTAGGTCCATTTATTTATCGCTTGGGGTGTGATATTTCATAAAAGTGGAAATTGGAATAAAATGAAAATAAGTGGTATATTTCACATATTTAAGATGTCCCCCTTTTTTTTTCGTTATCTCATTATCACTACAAAACATATCACATATATTGTACTAGAAGATGTTGATGGGTAGGTAGACACATTAATATTATTGATTCAAGCAATCAATGAGTAATGGGAAGGATTTATGTAAGTAACCTTGTTAGCTGTAATTTGAGAAAATTAGTTAATATTTTTTTTAGTATGTATTGTTAATATGCATTTCTTTATTTTAAAAAAATGTCTAATTTTATATCGACATTTATTCAATAATTTTTAAAATATCAGATTCATTAAATAATGTGAAAATATATCATTAGATTATATGTATTAAAAAGATTAACACAAACAATTAATCAAAATCAAATTACTTTATAACTTTATGTAAACAAAATGATTAATTTAACTCATAATTAAAAGTACCGCGCTAGGTCTTGGGAATGTAGGTTTAACGCCTTCCACAACTACGCTAACCTGTAAGACTAACCACACCAATACCTTTGGTCAATTCAATCGGCTTTAAAGTTGTGCTCAATTGCTCATGGGCCATACAGAATAAAGTCAATCAATAGTCATTGTGAAGGTTGTACTTGGACTCAGAATTTGTAAAACCATTTAAATTTCAAAATTATTTTTAAAATTTAAATAAATTATTTTATTAATATATTTAATTATCATCAACTTTTGCATAATATTAAAAAGACTATGCCCAAATTTTAAGAAATAAAAATTTAATCTTATTTAAATAAGTACAATTTTATATCTAAAATATAATAAAGTAATACTTAATATTAATTTAAAAATGTGTAAGACTAACATTACTTGCTTAAAAACAAAAAATAAAAAATAAATATAAAATAAGTGTGATAATTAAAATAAATAAAGAATAAAAAAGAAATTTTATATAAATCATCGGTGTTCAATCAGACTTGGAATAATCTAAATTCGAATTGGAAAAATCTATTGCAGGGGAAAGTCCTCCTTACCTAGTTTTTAACATGGGTATATATCTAGGGCTCAAGTTTTTAGTATATTTAGGACTTGAAATCGAGATCATTTAATCTACATGTTATGTATGTGAATTGCATTTTTTATTTTAATCGTTGATTTTATTTATATCTAATGGTTCTGATTTATAATTAATAACTCTAATTTAATCTTAATCATTGACATCAATCATGTACGAAGTACGAACACCTACGTACCCTCCTCTCTCAAATTCTAGTCTTAATTAACACAGACCACAAGCGTCACATTAAGGGCTCATATCTTAATCCCACACACAAAAACATGTAATTCCGTCACCTGCACACAGCACAATCAATTTAAAGCCCTTACATTAATTTAGCTTGACAACAGAGTGAGAGGATTCCACGAATGGAAGCAATATATATATATATATATAGAAACGTATCCATCTAGGAAGTGTTGTTATATATGAACCTAATTAGTGGGCCCATTTTTCAACACTCCACGACAAATAAACAACTAAGAGATAAGGGTAACAGCCCTATTGACACATTGCTATGCTAGGAGAAAAAGAATAAGACTTCACAATATTTCTAACGCGATAAGAATCCTACTCCTATCACTATCAGGTAATTCATCTACAAAAAAGAGTTGAAGACTTAAAGTCATTCATTATATATGTAGTTTTCTTCTATTCACAATGGTCTGCTATTCTTTGCGCCTTACAGGTTCTGGAATTGTTCCACTATTATTTCGTCTAATCAGCTTTTTATAATTATTATTCTTTAAATTATTTTATTTTTTAATGAAAATGTAAATAAATATTTTAGATATTATTTATTTAAATTTCTATGTTTAAACAAATTCTTTTGAATTGATTTATTATTTATTTTTTAATTTTTTTAAATTATTTTATTATTTCATTAAGAGATAATGTAATATAAATTTATCACGGAGTCAATATACAATGTTTACTTTTATGGTTTGTAAATTTGGAATAATATATGAATTATTGATTGAATGCTTTATATTTTTAATATATTTTAATTTTTGTTTATAAATTATTTTGTGAAAACCTTGATCAAAACATTAATTAGGTTAACAAAAATAAATATGTGTTGGCTTTGGTGAACCTGACTTGATTTCAAATGGAAAGCTTGATATATATTATTGTTTTTATATTTTCATGCAGGAACCGAGATTGATATGGGTGAACTAACCCTATGAACCGGGAACCTATTGCAACTTTGCAAGTCTATTTGAGTGTATATACCACTCTTTTATTATTATTATTACTATTATTATTATTATTATTATTATAGAGTATAAATTTATGCTTCATATAAATCTTTTTTTGAAAATATTCCAATTGGTTTATCGCTTCGCGACTAGTCCGATTCAGGACGGATTCGGGATTAAGGCTTTAAACTCCTCCCAAAGGTGATACTAGAGAGAATCAAACACATGCTTAGCTCCCATGTGCCAACTGAGCTACCACCATTTGCTTCATATACATTGAATTGGCTTAAGCACCGCTATTTTGAACAATTATGTTTTATACATTATATTCTGGAGCATGTTATATTTACAAACTTAATTATGTATTAAGAGTAGTACATGAATTGGTTTATGTACTACCATTAGTACATAGTTAAGTTTGTAAACAAAAAATTTGTAAATATAACCTTCCTCTTATATTATTGTGTCCAGATTATTATATTTTTCATTACAATGAGTGTGACTTACACTATTTCTCTATTATGTTTCAAATAATGACTTTCGTGTTGAACCGAGTAACACTTACAAATATTAGCTCTAGGACTATTCCGGAGGCTCACCTATTTTCCTTATATTCAATTTGGGTTCTAATATAGGGGAGTGTTATATTGACAAATTTTTTTTTACAAACAACACTTAGTCTAACTGGTCATACACTCTTAATTGAAGTCTGACTATCAGACATACTGTAGTTTGTAAGAATTTATAAATAAAAAGTTTGTAAATATAACATTCCCCTGTAATCTATATATAAATTCAATAGTGTTAAGTTTTCTTCTTAAAACTTGAGTTGTTTGATTAGTTGATTTGGAATAAATATTGTTATGGACGTGACATACAAGCCCACATTCTAGAAAGCTCAAAAAGAACTAAATGCTAAGAGAGAAATTAAGGATAGATTCTTTAATTATACTAATCTTAGTGGGACAACAATGAATCAAGAATTGGACTCCCAATATTCTTAAAAGACCCAGAAGTCCATTTCTATCAGGTAACTCATATATAAATAAAATGTTAAGTCAATCAGGTACATACATTCTAAACTCTCTCTCTTAGTTATCATTGTGCACACACCACACACATTAGCTATGCCGTCTAGCATCTATTATAGTGCACAGTAATCCGCTGATCTTTAAAGTATCTCTCCCATAAATACCTGTGAGAGAGCATTCAGATCCAACAGAAACATACCAATCATCAAATTGGACATTTCGATCCTCTGGATCAAACAAATATTGTTTCATTTATTTCATAGTAATTGTATTATTTTGAGATGTCGATATTATAGGGGAGGTTCTATCAAAATTGAGGAAGAAATTTATTCAAAATATAGGAACTATAAATTCATATCAGTGTTTTCCTTTGGTATTAGAATTTTTTGTTATTAAAG